TAATAATTGAATAATATTATTAATTTATGTTATACAGTAAATGAGAAGCTAATACATTTTTGAAAGCAATTATCGTAGACTCGTAAAGGTGTTGTAATTAGAAAAGATAAAAGTAACGGTAAAAAATTTCAACAAGTACTGATCACTAATTTATATTTATCTAAAACAATTAGCAGGGATGATTGCAAATAGAATATATATTGAGCAATATAGTTATACTTTTAAAGCAGAAGAAAGAATAAAAATGCCTAGATCTACCAAGAATGATAATTACTTGTTAATTGATAGTATGATAATGAATAGAGAGTATGGGAATAGAAAGGCAAATTTGATTGCAACATGAAAAGATCATAAGAAAGCACAGTTCTTTGTCATATATAAGATTTATGAGGAATTGAAACTTTATAAAATTTATGACGATATGAGGAGATTTCATTTGAAAAAAAGAAAAGCAAATAACAATTTTAATACTTAGGAGTATTAAATTTGCAAAGATCTCCATAAAAATTCCGCATTATCTTCATGATAACTGCAGTGTTATTATATAGCATTAAAAAAATTCAATACAAGTAAAATCAAAAATTAATTAATCGTTTAAATTATTGATAAACATGATTAATAGTAATATACCGAAGGAGTTAAAAATAAAAAATGAGCAACAAATTCGATTGAAAAAATGTAATAATAACATAATTCAATTGAACAAAGCTACAAGAAGAGAACAAAGATTTGAACTTCAAATGCTATTAATATTTTCAAACTGCAGTCATATAATACGGTTATGCAAATGAATAAAAGTTTATTTAAAAAAAGTTGAAAAATATCGAAATTAAAATCGAATGAAAATAAATGAATTCATCCATAAATAAATGCAAATTATGGTATTATATCCAAATCAAATGATTATTACAAATGAAGCAGAATATTGAAAAGGAAAAGTTATTGAATGATGTAATAATGTAAATAAAATAAGCAAATGTTTATTAAAGTAACCCAAAAGAAGATAGCCAATTAATCAGGTGATAGGCTGAAAAAAAAGGAAAAAACAAAGACATGAAATATATTTCACATCATTTAAACAAAATAAAATAATAAAACAAATTGGTTAGTTATGATTGAAGTATCAATTTTGAAAATTAATACTACGCACAATGGATATTAAAGAAAAACTAAAAAAATCTTAACTGATGGTAAATATAAAGGTGACGAAAGGAATCCTTGATATTTACTATCAGTTAAGATTTTTTTTAGTTTTTCTTTAATATCAGTAGTTACGACAAAATTGTATAATTCATTTCCTATTATGATAATATTGAACATTTCTGTGAATAGACATATGAGAATAAAAACATAAATTAGAAAAAATAGCAGAAAATAATGAACAAATTGTTTTTCATTATTTTTTAACTTTTTAGAATACAGATAAAGAATAAATGGAAACAGAACAAATTTCTTGATTGATATTGAAAAGATTAAATTGAAAAAAGACAATTATCATTTAAAAAGAACAGAAAAAAACAATTTTAAAATTCGAAGTAGGAAAAGAGGATAATTATTTCAGTTTGCTAAGAGTGTTTGATGCAATATTAATTTATTTGTTTAATGCAATATTAATTGATTAATTGATTTGAGAAAACATCTGAAGGTGACAGCATTGAAATAGAATAACAATGATAACAACGAGATAAGTGAAGATCACATTTCTACTAGCAATTAATTACTTAGAAAATATCACACCTGATATACACGTTATGAGCATGACAGTAAGATTCAAAATTTTTGCTCAAAATATTTTGTAGCCATACATAGAAACAAGTTGTCAACAATCATGATAAATAATAATTAGTAATAATAATTAATGATGATAATAATAATAATTACTGATAATGATAAAGACCTTAGTGATAAATGAATAATAATAAAAATAATAACGATTTAAAAGTATGAACCTTGTGACACTGAGGACTGATCATTTGCATATAATAATTGGAATTTGATAATTTCCATAATAAATATCTGAAATCAACCGCTTTAATCCAACGTTTACCAAGCGATGGTGATGGCTTACCGCGCCAATAAACAAAATGATTGGTTGTTACGATGGCACAACCATAACGACGTGCTATATAATGAAGCATAGCAATAATTTCATCCTGAACTCTTCGGCCTAAATTTAATATTAAAAAAGAACAATATGATCATTACGATGTTTCATTAGTTGAATGAATATCGCAATGAAAAGCAATCAACCTATTTCGCTCGAAATAATTAATCAATCGAAAAAGCATAAATCTATCATCATACAGCAAACTTTTCATCCAAAGATTTTTCAAATGAACAAATAATTTCACATAGAAATCTCTCATAAAATTTAAACCTCAGTGTGTAATGTAAAGAAAACTGAAATTAGTTCAGCTAAATATTAAAATGCTAGTTTTGCAGAACAATATGATTATTACGATGTTTCATTAGTTGAATGAATACTGCAATGAAAAACAATCAACCTCCTTCGAAGTATTCCCAAGCTGTAAATGCTAATGCTGCACCAATACTGTCGATTACAATGAGAACCAGATTTTGAATACTCTTCAAAAGAATTATTACTTCCGCAGCTTAACCTTAGCTCGAAATATTTCAATCCATTCACACAAAATAAAGTGTACTACAAACTACCACCCTCTCATAATTTTGCTTTGAATGGGACCGCTCAGCACGCGTCAACTCCTACTAGGAGACCTAATTCAAGGTCCTCCACGCAGTCATCAAACGTAACGTCCCTGACTCAAAGAGCACGGACGAAACGCTTCTTCCCGCTCTGGAGATGACGCCATGCCACATCATCGCGGCTGCGCTCCGTCGCATTTTCGCTGATAACGAAGAAATACATACTACAGAAATGATTCTGTGAAGTATGATCTCGACTGTCCAATTCCAAACTCTGATCTTCATTCATTTCTACTGCAAACAGCAAGTGGCTTATTGCGAAAACTTTTCAAAGCACTTCTCCTCCTCATCAACCACACTGTTTCTCACAATCTCTGCATTCTGTCCACAGTCTCTTCCTCACCACAATTCTCTAGCAACGAATCCGTTAACCTCACCAATCGATTCCCATTGCTCTCCGAATTTTT